ATTTTTATTAAATTTGACAATCTCAATTTCACTTTCCACTATGTCCACCGTTGTTTTTCACAACCAATGGCAGAACTTTATTGAGGCCTGTAATTAGTCAACTACAGGTCTCTTGAAGTCTTTTTATTCCAAAAAGCTTGTGACAAGATGTTATTGCTCTTGGGGCATTAAAAACAAGATTTTAACTTTAGTTTTTTATATAATATCTGCATTGTCTCTTGTGAAAAACTAAGTCTTACTTTGGCCATAGTTATTTAATATATAGCGCCATCTCCTGGTTAAACCCTGAAATTGGAGAATAGTGGGAGGGCCTAACATTCCTGAATACTGGTCTTTGGCAGGCAACTGGCTGGCAGTCGGCAGGAAGCTGTATGCTGGGGTCCAAAATAAGAGGCTCCATCTGTAGGAGTGTCTGGATCAAGCTAGCTAGTAGCTAGCACATTAGTTAGCATTACAGCCTTGTCATTTTTATTAGCCTTAACATGAAGTAACATTAAGTAACCCAAAATGTTAAACAGTAAGAGTAGTAGTCATATTTCGTGAACCCTTTGAAGAGTACGGTCACCGGTGTGATCATTCTATAATACACAATTTAAGCCCGGGGGAGAAATGCTAACGCTAACGCTAGCGATCTTCTCTACTTCATGCTATCTGCACAAATGGTTGACATTAAACATTAAAAAGACCAGGCAGTTCAGAGAGAATCAAAGGAAGGCAGGCAGGCAGCTTTGCATGACATTCTTCAGGACGTGTTTCATTGTGGTGATAGTGAGGGTCGTCAATCGTTTTGTTGACAAGACAGTAGTGACGGCCATCTTGGTGACGTGTGTTGTTGACCAGAGATGTAGTTCATTGAGCGTTTCACACAAACAAATGTGTTACTTCACAGTTTGACGACACATTTTATTTTTTTTGACTTGCAAAATTATCTTTTAAATTGACAAACATCATATGTGTAATTCGTGGCACAATTCAAACGGGATCGAAAGATAATCTTTCTCTCTCCATTGACTTCAATACATAATTTTTCCGAAATAAGGTCCCATGGAGGTCCACCGGAAGGGGAGGGACTTCGCCACTCTATAGCCAAAGCCCGAGACACTGTTTACTATAAATTGACGGGGAAGGGGGTAGCAATAAAGATAACACCATTAAACAGTTACACAACATAACAGACATAATATCGATAGCAGCGTCCCTAGCAACCACCTTGGTAACAATGAAAACGTTGGATTTACACAATTTCCTGAAGTATTCTTCGTAATAACTAGCAAACTAAAGATCATGTACATCCACTGCACACATAATCTGAAATAACAACTCATATTTCTCGCATCAAATGACATCAAAACGCATTTTAATGGCCAAACTAACCTTAAAATAGGCATTTTCTAACGAGAATAAAACGAAGGTCGGCCATGTTTTTTTATTTCTGCGGAGAGAAAGTTGAAGATCACGTGACATAGACGCCAGCCATTGGAAATGAATGGTGAAAAAAACCGTAGGGATCCTACAATTTCAGAGGCGTTTTTGTAGAAATACTACGTCCCTAGTTGTGGACCAACGTAGTTATTACACGTTTAGATGTGAGACTGGGTTGGTATAACTTTACTCAATGACAGTTATTTAGTATTTTTTGTTTCATCATGTTTCGGTATTGCACTTAAAGCATAAAGTGGAAACACTGTAAAGACCTTAAACTCTGCCTGCCGTTGGCTCTGCAGTAAAATAGTTCCAAGCTGGCCATCAAGCTCAGAGACCTCGGGCTCAACAGCGCCCTCTGTGACTGGATCCTGAACTTCCTGACGGGCAGACCCCAGGCAGTGCGGGTGGGAAACATCACATCCTCCACCCTGATTCTCAACACCGGTGCCCCTCAAGGCTGCGTGCTCAGCCCTCTCCTCTACTCCCTGTTCACTCACGACTGCGTGGCCACACACAGCTCCAACACCATCGTGAAGTTTGCTGACGACACGAGCGTCATCGGCCAGATCACCGACGGCGACGAGATGGCGTACAGAGAGGAGGTCGAAAACCTGACATCTTGGTGCCAGGATAACAACCTCCATCTCAACGTCAGCAAAACCAAGGAGCTGATTGTGGACTACAGGAAGCAGCAGAGAGAGAGACACGCCCCCATCGCCATCAATGGGACTACGATGGAGAGAGTCAGCAGCTTCAGGTTCCTCGGTGTCCACATCACTGACACCACCATCACCAAAAAAGCTCGACAGCGGCTCTTCTTCCTCCGCAGGCTGAGGAGGTTCAACATGGACTCCAGGATACTCTGCAACTTCTACAGGTGCACCATAGAGAGCATCCTGACCTTCTACAGGTGCACCATATGGCGCGTTTCCACTACACGGCCTCGCTCGGCCTCGCTCGGTATGGCTAGGCCTCGTTAGGACTGGCTCACTTTATGGCGCATTGCCATTACAGTTTAGGAACTGGGGTAGTATCTATAGTAACGCAGTGTAGGCGGAGCCGTGACGTCATCTTCAATGAGAACCCCAGAAAAACAACACAGCCGTTAGCTGTTAGCACTCAGAGCTCACAGCTCCTCATATATGTTCAGAAACTAGACAAAAGTTAAACAAGTACAAACCACAGACTGCCTGTGTCATGGCGAATACAGTCGCTGCTTTATTTATGTCTGTATAGGCCGTTGTTGTGAGTGTGGACGGTCGGAGCATATACTGCGTTAGCTTAGCCAATCTCCATTTAGAAAACACGCATTTTAAAAGGTTTTTCGCCTGCCGTCTGTCTGCAGACTTGTCAAAGCATTAATTCATGGTTTTTACTAACCAGTATCAGTATGTTGTTACTTCGGCATCATTTTGAAACGTGTATTACAATTAAATCACGGTCAAATATGTCCATCTTGTTGTAGTTGTAGCCCCCTTGCCAGCGATTCTCTCTCTGGTTTAGCATACTCAGCCTGACTCAGCCTCGTTGTCTCTGGCCCTAGAACCACGATTTTATGAGGCCAGAAAAACTGTGAATTAGGACCTGCCGGCCGGTACTAGGCCAAGTGGAAACGCAACCAAAGACGGGCCGCTGACGTCACAGCCCTCTTAAACCGTGCTCCGCGCTGTAGTGGAAACGCGCCATTAGAGAGTATCCTGACTGGCTGCATCACAGCCTGGTACGGCAGCTGCACCGACCTCAATCGTAAGGCTTTACAGAGGGTGATGAAAACTGCACAGCACATCACCAGGACGGAGCTGCCATCCATGGAGGACCTTTACTCCCAGCGGCTCAGGAAGAAATCCCTCCGGATTATAAAAGACCCCCATCACCCCAGCCACAAACTGTTCTGTCTGCTGCCGCCTGGCAGACGTTACCGCAGCATCCGGACTAAAACCACCAGATTCAGAGACAGTTTCATCCCACAGGCAATAAGACTTAATTAGATAAACACCTGAACTGTTGAAGCAAAATCTGTTAAACACCTGAACAGTTGAAACAACATCCCTAATATTCATCTGGCTGCTACTTAAAAATTATTTAAAAATTAACAGCCGAAACGTGTATTACAATGCTGTTATGTGATGACTTTCAAAGAGAAAAGCAAGCACACTCGGAATAATGTATTATTTAATTGTTTTATACAGTCTATGTTTGCTACAGAGGATTGTGGGTAATGTCATGTCTTCGGCCATCCAAAACTCATAGAAAACGACTTGTTTCTCAGAATTGAAGGGGAAAACGTGACAGATACATCAACAGCTATAACTTTCGAGGGGTGGAGGTATGCCCATTATTTTAAATGTGTCATAAGAAAGGACAGAAATGTGACGGTAAGGTACACTGCTGCAAACACAACGCTGGAGAGGTTCTCCAAGCACCTGCAAAGGTAACATGCTAACACGAAGCTAGCTAAAGACCCCCGAACCCACAGTGATGATGTTGAGTGAGTGTCGACTCCGAACAAGCAGCTAAAACTAGAATTTCCCCCGTTATTAACTTGTGTTATGTCTTCCTTATTGCAATAGTATTTGTTATATGTGTGCACATGTAGGCCTACGTTCTAAGTTTTGGCTATAGGCTGTAGCTGAGTAACGCAAAAGTAATGTAAAGAGTAATGTAAAGAGTAATGTAACGAGTTACTTTATGTAGAGAGTAACGAAGTAAAGTAATATATTACTTTTATTTAAAGTAATGAATAATATGTAATATATTACTTTTTTGAGTAACGACCCCATCACTGTTAGTAACTAATGAAGTTAAAGGCTTTTTCAAATGTATCCACTTTCATCATCCAATAACCAATTCAAATAATATTAAAGCATAACAATGATCTGCTCATCTTTATATGATACACACAGTGACCATCAACTGGCGGCCCGCGGGCCACATCCGGCCCGCCAGACATTCTCATCCGGCCCGCACGACGGGGGTGACTGTGGCGTTGGCGGAGTGGTTAGTGCGTTCGCCCCCCAACGTTTTACAACGTCTCGTGAGTAATGTGCAGTACCGGAGTCCAACAGAGAGTCCTTACTCAAGTACAAGGTCTGAGTACTTCTACTTTTACTAAAGTACAAGATGTACTTCTACTTTTACTGAAGTACAAGATCTGACTACTTCTACTTTTACTGAAGTACAAGATCTGAGTACTTCTACCACCTCTAAATTGTGCCACATCGCGTTTACAAATAATGTCCACACGGTGGCACAATTCACACACAAACGTAGTCCATATGTGGTGCTTTTCTCTGTGCATATAACAACACACACACACACACACACACACACACACACACACACACACACACACACACACACACACACACACACACACACACACACACACACACACACACACACACACACACACACACACACACACACACACACACACACACACACACACACACACACACACACACACACGCTCTGCAGGCTGATCCTCTTACAGTGATTCTCTGCTGCTGCGCACAGCTCTCCGGTCGCTCGGTTCATTCAGACACGGAGCTCCACGGGACTCTTTATTCCTCCTCTTCTTCCTCTTCTTCTTCCTCACTTCAACTGCTCTCGGCAGCAGTAGACATGGATGCGTTCCCGTGAATCAGAGGAAGATGCTGCGCTGACAGGGAGGGGATTCCTGCAGGAATAGGAAGGTTTTCTCGTTTTTTTTTACACCATGGATCTGTACTGACATCCTCACAGTTCAGCGTGTCATCAGACCGGGTTTTGTATCCCGCACCACGGGATTTGTGCTTCATCCATCCCGTAGAAACATCGGGCTGTGACGCATGTGTAGCATCTCTATCTGCTGCAGAAACATGGACACACACTTCGCGTCACCGGGATATTAATCTAATTTAAAACAGCTGCGACACATGTGTGGTTATTCCTCTCACCTGCTGAGCACCTGAAGTTAACTTTTCCTGCTGGATCTCCATGCAGTGATTCCTACTTTCTGCGGGATTTAGCGCTTTGTGCAGCGGGACATCATGTGGACACCGACGGAGGACGAGAAGATAGGAGTCGGTGAGTGACATGCATGGTGTTTGTTTGTTGATGCTTTATATCGCTGCTTGTGTGTGTTATTGTGGATGTTCTGCAGCTGGGAAATTCTAAATGATGCATTTGTTCATTGGGATTCATTCCCCTGTCTCTAACTGTGCAGCAAACTTTGATAAAAGCCATTATTCTTCCAATAATTCTGCTTTACTGAACTCTTTGAGGAGTTGAATGCACTTTATGGTCCTTTATGCTGCTATACCTCCAGTTTCCACATAAACTCTTCTAGTTTGAGACATGAATGTGTGTTGAGGCATGTTGGAGTGGATCTTTTATGACCTCATGGTAGTTTCTGCTATTTTGTCTGTTTCTAAAATGGTCTGTAGTTCGTAGTATAGTAGTTTTAACATCAAACATCAGCTATAGTAAATGGGTGAGGGAAAATGCTCACTGGCTGTGCAGTAGCATTACATGTTGTTATTTATTCTAAAGATGCATTTGGTCATTTGGATTCATTTCTCTGCCTCTAACTGTGCAGAAAAGTGCCATTAAAAACCAGTATTTTCCAATAATTCTGCTTTAATGAACTCTGTGAGGAAACTATTGGTCTTTATCGTCTTTTTTTCCACTCCTATTTCCACAATATTCCCATTAACTCTTCTAGTTGGAGACATGTGTGTTGGGGCACTTTGGAGTGGATATTGTGTGACCTGATGGTAGTTTTTGCTATGTCGTCTGTTTCTTAAATGGTCTGCAGTTCTTAGTGTACTATTTTTAACATCAAACATCAGCTATAGTGAATGTAAAAGGTGCAGGGTGAGTGGCTGTGCAGAAGCATTACATGTTGTTTATTCTAAAGATGAATTTGTTCATTGGGATTAATTCCTCTGCCTCTAACTGTGCAGTAAAGTGTCATAAAAGCCAGTATTCTTAATTAAATCTGCTCTGTTGAACTCTGTGAGGAATTTATTCCACTTCATGGTCTTATTTCTATTCCTATTCCGACAATATTCCCATAAACTCTTCCACTTTGAGATGCAGTACTTAGTATGGTGTAGCTATAGTAAATGTATTTGCATGCTATGGGGAAAGAGCTGTGTGTGTGTGTGTGTGTGTGTGTGTGTGTGTGTGTGTGTGTGTGTGTGTGTGTGTGTGTGTGTGTGTGTGTGTGTGTGTGTGTGTGTGTGTGTGTGTGTGTGTGTGTGTGTGTGTGTGTGTGTGTGTGTGTGTGTGTGTGTGTGTGTGTGTGTGTGTGTGTGTGTGTGTGTGTGTGTGTGTGTGTGTGTGTGTGTGTGTGTGTGTGTGTGTGTGTGTGTGTGTGTGTGTGTGTGTGTGTGTGTGTGTGTGTGTGTGTGTGTGTGTGTGTGTGTGTGTGTGTGTGTGTGTGTGTGTTGCAGGTGCCTCCACTTTATGACAGCAGTGATTTATCAGCAGTGTTTTATTGCAGTATAATGAGGGAGTGTTTTCAGAGGAGAGTTTGTGGTCTAAAGGCTATTAGTCGATGTTCTGCTGTTCAATGATTATCTCTTCCTGAGTCCCCCTCCATCCCTCCTGTATCTATTACTGCACACAGTTCAGACACACACTTATAACCCTTTTCTGCTGACTGTTTCCTGGCATCTCATGTGTTTTATCTATCCTCTGTGAGGTTTTGTGTTGGGATCTTGTTACTGCTGGGATCAGAGAAAGTGAAATCATCCATTCTTGTGACACTGATTCAGAAACTTCTGTTGGTACGGATTCAATACCAGTGCTCTCATTCTCCCAATATTAAAATCTGTCCACCACAGATCTCAATAGCATGATTTGTATGCTGGGTAAAAGGAAGTTGGGGATTGCTATGAACTATTGGATGTGTCTTAAAGGGACAATACTGAATTTGATGATGACGTTATTGAGGAAAATGTATTTATTGTTGCTTCACTGATCATTTGGCCAATACCCAGTTTGTGTTTGTGTAGACACAGAGTTTAATGCAATACAGTGCAACAACTCCACCATACGTTGTCCTTAAAGAGCCTATAATAGATATAGTTTCTGTTTAAACTTACAAGATGTGGTAACAGAAGTGTTGCATTACATTTAGCTGATGCTTCTCTCCAAAGAGATGTACAATTAAGCATGAGAGTACAAACTAAGAACAGAGTGAATCCTGCAGGCACATTAGCTTCTTTAAGCCAAACCACTGTTTTTGTTTTTAAGGTGAAAGGCTTGTTGCAAGGATACAAAACTGCACACTGCAAGGTTACACATATAGAAAGTTAATACCTCTCTGACATGGTTGGAAAATCTTATTTGAGTCGGATCAAGTTTATAATTTAGGAGCAACTCTTCTGTGATCAGGAGACTCCGACTCATAATTCTCCACCAAAAGTCTCTACTCTCCTTTTATTGGTTGATAAAAGACAATAATAATAATAACACATTTTATTTAGAGGCACCTTTCAAAGCACCCGAGGACACCTTACAATTCAGGAAATATTCTTAAAAACGGTACAGAAGGACAGAAACAGGGAACATGTTGGGAAACGTTATAACTTAAAGGTGAAGTTTGAGAAACCGGCTCGAGATACACTTGTTGTTATATTCCATGGAATGCTCTTAACATCCAGATAGCAATGAATATCTGAAGTGCTTTGACAAAAAATCCATAAAAAATGTCATCTGTGGAAGCTGTAGTACTGTAAAAAGCACGACCAATCATCTGAGCCGGCCCGGCTAAAATAACTGGATGGCCTACCTGCCTGTCAGCCCTCCATCTGTGCACAAACTTATCTCGTGCCCTCATTGGTCATGTGCGCGTTCGTGTGTGTTGGAGGAGGGGCTCTATAAGGAAGTGGAAGATTTTTTACGGCTGTGTATTTTCAAAATCTAGCGCACTCAAGCTGGTTTCTCCAAAATTACCTACCCCACCTTTAAGGGTTAAAAACTCTGTCTCGACGGCGTCTTCCACCCAGGTTGCCCATATCTGTGTCTCTTAAAAGGCTGGCCGTGGGTAAAGTAGTCTTTTAAAGTCTCTTGACTACAGAACTCACGACTAGGGGGGACAATATTTGGCCTTATTCCAAAAGAACGAAGTAGTAACCAGAATTGACATTGATAAATTGGAACAAATCTGAATTGCAATAATTGTTATCATCCTTTCTTTGCTGCTGTTGCTTTTATGTACATTATTTAATTTAATATTCTGTTCTTGTACATATCCCATATTCTATTGACGTGTATATAGACTTTTATTTGTATTTTTGTATTTTATTATATATGTTGCATTGTTGGAGGAGCTCAGGTCAGAAGAATGTCATTGCTATTTCTACACTGTAGCTTATGTGCATATGAGGATAACACCTTTGAATCTTGAATCTTTTGAATTTGAATATATGGGTTTACCTACCACCACATAGTATTGGAGTAGCAGCCAGTACTTACATGAATACATTGGAAAAAATCTAAATTGCAATATTTTTTATCGTCCTTTCTTTGCTGCTGTTGCTTTTATAATGCTCCTTTTTTTCTTAATGAATTCTCCTGTGAACCATGAGGCCTCTGAACCACGTTGTTATGTGAAGTATGGTTGGAAAAACAATCGTAAGTTGCACTCTTCAATGAAATTAGCATAAGGACCCCCCCCCACCGATAGACAGCGCTATCGATTGACAGCCTTTCAGAGCGGCCGATAAGAAAAAGTGTCTGCAGTGGGCGGAGCTGACAGCAAGTCAATGTGAGGAATCATGACTCCGGCACTCTGTTAATTGGATAGAGACATTAGCTGAATTTAAATGAGACGCTGTGTGTTTTTATTCTGCTGCTCAATACCTTCAGTCAGTCTTGATTTCCTCTGCTCAGTCAGATCAAAATCAGAAATACCTCACAGTTTGTAAGGATTCACAGTGCATGCTGGGAGAAGTGAGACAAGGACAACTCTACTCTGTGGGGGAAGACTTCGTGGACTATATATATCACACGTCTTCACATAAAACTATAGGAATGAGTTCTAAACCCGGTTTGTTCTACAACATAAAATATGAGTAAATACCCCAATGGTGGATTTAAAAACAGCTGTTGCTAACAAGTGTCTAAATGAGACGACTAAACGTCCAACCCAGTCTCACGGCATTTCGTGTTATTAGTCACAAAATTAATTTAATCTATTGATTCGTGTTCACCAACACGATTTTCACCTTTTTTTCGTGTCACACAGAACGATTTTAAATGCAATGTATTTCTATTGGTAGTATGTTTCGTGCCTGCAACACGTCTTTTTGTCCGGTCGGGTCTTGGAAGACCAGAAGCTGTGTGGTTCATAAAAACATGTTCTTACTCAATATCTTACCCTAAGCCCTAACCCTATCCCTTTTATTTTAAATTGTATAATGTCATGAGTTTTTGTGCCGTCAGTGAGGAAAAGAAATGTCTCAGAGCCTCAGAATACTGACATCTGTATTTTATGTCATCTTTTTTCCTTCTAATTTGTTATTATTTGGTGCAGGCACGAAACATACTACCAATATAAATACATTGCTTCTAAAATCGTTCTGTGTCAGAATACTTAAATCTGTATTTTTTTAAATGTCTTTTTCCTTCTAATTTGTTATTATTTACATTGCTTTTAAAATCGTTCTGTGTGACACGAAAAAAATTGCGAAATCGTGTTGGTGAACACGAATCAATAGATTAATTTCGTGACTATAACACGAAATGCCGTGAGACTGTGTTGAAACGTCATCACGTCCAACATTAGCCACCTTTAGCTTAGCGGTGGTGACGTGAAGTCATGTGACCGTGCTGTAGTTCCTTTATAACCCAACATTAGCCACCTTTAGCTTAGCGGTGGTGACGTGAAGTCATGTGACCGTGCTGTAGTTCCTTTATAGCCCAACATTAGCCTCCTTTAGCTTACCGGTGGTGAAGTGAAGTCATGTGACCGTGCTGTAGTTCCTTTATAGCCCAACATTAGCCTCCTTTAGCTTAGCGGTGGAGACGTTAAGTCATGTGACCGTGCTGTAGTTCCTTTATAGCCCAACATTAGC